TCCGTAGACCGATGAGTCCCCCGGTCCGTAGACCAACAGACAATCCGATTTCGTCTTTGCCAGACAGAGTCCGTGTCCGTAGACCTGAACCCCCCGGTCCGTAGACCCTGGTCCTTAGACCCCACCCTTGGCGAAGCTTGTCAATGGCCAGCAGGTTCTTCTTGGTCCTCCGCATTTGTCGTCGTCGTTTCATCTGGCCCTGAGCGAGGCGGAGTTGCATTTGGAAGCAGCACGCTCTCCAGCGCCGAGGGTAGGTGAGCGTGACTAGCCTCGGCTGCTGCCCACATATCGTCCAATGGAAAGCGCCGAGCAGGCGCTTGCACAGGCTGCATGGCAGCTTCCAAAGTTCTTTGCAGATCCGTCTTACGGTCATGCGTGCTGTCCAAGAGTTTTCTCATTGTCTCTGCAACGACAGTCAACTCACCCTGAGTCACCCCCAGGGCTGCGCACAGACTTGGGTCGTCTTCCAGTTTTTTCTGAGAGGTCGTCCCAGAGGACGACGGCCTCCATGGCCATTGCAGACAAAAAAAGTCACCGTGTGAAACTCTTGCAGCTCCTGTGGGCTCATGACACAACGACTCTTAGAGCAGGTCGACGGGTCAATTGCAGTGGCTTGAGCACTCACAGCACAAAAGCGGCCGGGAGCAAACATTGCAAACCAGGGAGTTTTGATTGCGGATGACGTGACATGAACACAATCAAACCTTTCACCCAAAAAATGACCCTGCTGACTGGGAAATTACACCATTGAATTCTTGGGGATACAACCGATAATTAATGTGGTGACGCTTGGACCAGGCTTCAAAAGAAACCACGCAAACAGTGGGTGTTAGCAGCATGCCATATTGGCAATGTAAATGCCGTTGCCCCTCAACAACGAGACAAACCATGCAGGTGATTGGTTTGTTGTTGTTGTTGTTGTTGTCGTTGTTGTTGTTTTGTTGTTGGTTTGGTAGTGTGGTCGCTGTTGTTGCAGCAGGAATAGCAGTTGCGTCGTAGTAGTAGTAGTAGTAGTAGTAGCAGTGGTAGAAGAAGCAACAGTAGTATTTGTTGTCGGTGTTCTCTCTGGTTTTCCTCTTACTGTGGCTGTCGCTATTGTCTTGCTTGTGTTTTCTTGGTTGATGGTTGTTGCGCTTGTGCACCTACTTCTTCTTGTCTACTACTATTGCCACTACCGAATCATCGGTTCAACAGTAATTTACAACATCAGCAACAACAACAACAACAACGACCACTAGACAACAACAACCATAATAACAATGACAACTAAACAAAACAGTACACCAACACCGACAACAACTCACCACAAAAAACAGCAACCACAAGAGCCACAACCACAACACCAACCACAACAATGACAACTGAAAGACAACAAAAAGCAACCACGCAACCGCTGAACAGCGGCAAGAAACTCCATCCTTGCTGATGTCCACCTTACAGATGATCTCCTTGATCTTCACCGGTTCCTGGGCTGGTCTCGCACCTGCCAACCCCAGCTCGCCTTCTTCATTAAGGTACGCGAGCCTCCATTTCACCCGAAGGCCTCCGACTTCAGGTACTTGGTGGTTCGTTTTTACTTGTGGCATTTGCAACTTAGTTAAGACACTTGCAGGACTTAAGCAACTTGTAAGTAGTACTTAGGGAACTTAGGTTCTATTAGTTTCTTAATTATAACCGTAAGTTGTATAAGTTACTTGTAACTAACTTATAAGTTCTGTAAGTTCCTGGACGGCCAAAAGTATAGTCTCAAACAAGCTGATACAGATCATGTTCATGTTTGTATTGTTTTGCAAGCTTTTGCACGCCTCAGGCGGCTCAATGAGCCACCAAATTAAGGAATCTCTGACACCAACCACACACCACTTTGTATATATAGATATAATACACATATATATATATAGAGCTTCTGGTGGCCCAATCAGCCGCCAAAGGGACCACTGACACCACCGAAACAAGCACAAGTTATATACACCTGAGCCCCCAGGTGGCAAAAAACAACGATGCAACTTTCAAAAGTGGCACTTGTCACTTTTACAACCGTTGACGCGTTGTGTAATACTTTGGTGCAGTGGCAGATTTCTACCGGCAATATGTGTGGACAGTTGCATTTTCACCTAAATGTGTTTAGTGCAACTGCAACCAAGCATTGCAGCAAAACAGTGTGCTGAATATTATGCTGAGAGACCTTTCCTGAAATTCATCAGAGACACTTGTGGCAGCTGCGTTTGCATTTGACTAGCATGAGATGAACATTTGACAAACAGGGCCCTTCCTGCGTTTTGTTTCCAGTTTTTTGTGAGTCTAAACATCTTCCAGTTCCATTTTGATGTCAAGTGATGAAGGCAAACCATGAGCCATCAGCGGAGTATCATTCCCTCGGCATGGTGTAGCTGTGCCTGACTACATTTGACTCTGCCAATATATAACTAACTTGCCTTGCACATTTAAGCGCTGCTAAATACGTATAATACGTACAACATGCCTTTAACCCCAAGCATGCGCACGTACCCTCTATTCCCTATTAACTTTTCCTAAGCTCTTTAGTTTTGAAGCTTTCCAAAAGTTTCCAACAGTCAGTGCGCACTTTCTTTATAAAATCCCTTATTCAAAAGTATTGAAAAACAAAAAATCATTCAAGCAAAGGGGGTAGTCCCGCAAGCAGCTTTCTGACATTATTTAGGGGGGGGGCCCTAGAATAATGTCTGGAGATTTGAGGCTTTAAATCTTTATTCCTTTTCTTTGCCTTTTGATTTGCTTTACTTACCATTGAAATTGCAGGTCTTTGGATTGAGATTTCCATTGAAATTTAAACAGTTATTTCTATTTCCAATGATTCATTCCCTTTTATTGTAATTAATATTCCAGATGTCTTCAAAGTTAGGAATTCTTATTTCCTTTTAATTTAATATTGCCAGAGTAGCTCCAGAGGTAGCTAGCTAAGGATTCCTTATTTAATTATCAACTGATTGATTTTCTTATACATTATTTTGGAGGCCTTGGTTGTTGGGGGGGGGGTTTATAAATCAAGGGACTACATTACAGGGCGCTCCTTAGCGACCCCGTGACTGAAAACTCTGCTACTTCAGCGAAAGAGCGGGCCTCCTGCGCGCGCTCTGCCCTCGTTGGTCCTCCATCCTCCGTCTCGCGGCAAGGGTCCGAAGGCGCATCCCCCGCCCGCAGAGGCGGTCCATGGATCTCGGCTTCAACATCAATTGCCCCGATGCCAGTTGACATCGTTGACCTTCCGGACCATGAAGAGACCACCCAGTGTTTAGTACTCAAGACTATGACCCTTTTGAATTCAGCCGACTTTCCTACTATGGCAAGAGTCGGACGCGAATGACCCTCATCTACCCTGACCTTTTTTCCTAAGGCGATCGGGAGCCAGTAGCCTTCGGCTTCCTTCTTTTGGAAACACATCAGGACCCGCTTAGGGCCCAGATCCCTCCGCCGTCCGATAGCCTCGCTTCCGACCAAACGACGGTTCCGGTTGGCTCGCCCACAAGCCAAACCAACCTTCTAAACTCAGCAGGCCACTGGGAAAGATGCATCCCTTTATACCAGGTGGCCTCGCAGACTCGACTGAGCAGGAGGACATGGTTGAACCAGTTGACTTCCGAAAGCTCCCATGAAGCCTGAAGCCGTTTCGACTGACTCACCTTCAAACAAGACTGGAGGACGGTGACCGTACCATCCTCGTGCACACACCAGGCTGCGCGGTAAGGAGTTCCTTCTGCGCCACAGTTAGGCAACTGCAGGTTCTTTCCCTTCGCCCAGGCGACCCCGGCTACCTTTCCAAGTCCTCCGGGAAGATCATGAAACCCTCTGGACGCCCATTGTCCTCCCAAGCTTTAGCCCAACCTTTGACTAACCTAAAATTAACAAAACAAGCCTTGGGCTCATTCGGAGCCGTGGGGACTGCGCTCAATACCATGAGCTCCTCTGCTAGGAGTTCGCCATCCCCTGCTTCGGTGCCTTCTGGTTCAAGCGCCTCCCGCGCAGCAGCAGCTGCCCGAAAATCATCACTTGCCTCCTTCTCAATGCAAGCGGTGCAGCGCCCAAACACATAAGCTCGCTTGCCACATGAGCACCTTCCATCGTGCTCCCAGACATCCCTGCCTGGCTCCACAGCCAAGTTCATCAGAGGCGCCTCCGAAATGTCCTTGAGGACTCCAAGCCCGAGGATATCGCAAACTTGCCGCGAACTCTCCTCCTTTGGCGAGCGGGTCACCAGCAAGTCGCCCCCAGCTTGCGTCCTCCAGACGCACGTGACGCACGGATTAACGCACCAAACGGACTTCACCCCTGACCATCCGGACACAACTTCCCGGATCTCCTTCCTCTGCAGATTACGCGCCTGCAGGGTAACCTCCACGACAAGCGGAAGTCTGAGCAGCCCCAGCACGACTGCTCCCTGTCCTACTCCAACCGCGAAATCAGGAAGGTACGAACCCATGGCTCGAAGCGCTTTGGCACAAGCAG